TGATTAGTCATGACCAGCAAATGAACCCTATTGATTTTGGGGTCAAGGGGTCAAAGGTCAAGGTCACATTGACCTTGTAGGTAAAAACGGTTTCTGATCAATTAACTAAAAACGCTTAGGCCTAGGAACTTCAAACTTTGTATGATGATTGGTCTTGACCAGCAGATGACCCCTATTGAGTTTTGGGTCAAGGGGTCAAAGGTCAAGGTCATGACCAGTAGATACTTGATAACCCTTATTAATTGTATGATCACTGGGTCAGAAGTCATGCATAATTACCTTATCACATGAATAATTGGCTGCTGATAGGGGGCATACATGTTTTACAAACATATCTTGTTTTTATACTCTTTTACTCTTAAAAATGATTATGCTTCTGCCTGAAGATTTTGGATATTTTTGTCTTTAACAGTAACTAACTTATTATGCCCCCACTTTGAAGAAGAGGGGGTATATTGCTTTGCACTTGTCTGTCCGTCGGTCCGTAGACCAAAATGGTTTCCGAGTGATAACTAAAACACCCTTAGGTCTAGAAACTTCAAACTTGGTATGGTGATTTGTCATGACCAGAAGATGACCGGTCACCCCTATTGATTTTGGGGTCAAGGGGTCAAAGGTCAAGGTCACATTGACCTTGTAAGCAAAAACGGTTTTCGATCAATAACTAAGAACCCTTAGGCCTAGGAACTTCAAACTTGATATGGTGATTGGTCATGATCAGTAGATGACCCCTGTTTATTTTGGGGTCAATGGGTCAAAGGTCAAGGTCACATTGACTTCTTAGGTAAAAACGGTTTCCGATCAATAACTAAAGAACCCTTAGGCCTAGGAACTTCAAACTTGGTATGGTGATTGTTCATGACCAGAAGATGACCGGTCACCCCTATTGATTTTGGGATCAAGGGGTCCAAGGTCAAGGTCACATTGACCTTGTAGGTAAAAACGGTTTCCGATCAATAACTAACAAACGCTTAGGCCTAGTAACTTCAAATTTTGTATGATGATTGGTCATGACCAGTAGATGACCCATATTGATTTTGGGGTCAAGGGGTCAATGTCATATTGACCTTGTATTAATAATGATGGTTTCTGACCAATAACTCAACAACTCAAGTTGCCTTGGTTGATATTTTTATACTAAACTAAAAATGCTTTTGGTATACACATTTGAAGGTCTTATGTAATATAACAACTTGGCTGTCATTAATGAGGCTTACATGATTCATAAAATTTATGCATATATTAATTGGTAAGATTTGTAATAACTTAAATTGCTGCACACCACCTATGGGGTCACAATAATTATTACCTTGTGACTAGTCATGACCGGTAGATACTAGATAACCCTTATTAATTGTTTGTTCACTGGGTCAGAAGTCATGCATAATAACCTGATCACATGACTAATTGGCTGCCGATAGGGGGCATACATGTTTTACAAACATATCTTGTTAAGAAAGAAGCGAAAAGGAGTTTAAGCATCCATTGCCTCCTGAGCTATTAAAAAGAGTCCAGTAAAGATATTGAGAAACTTGAGAAACACTTTGTTGACTTCAATTAAGTGCCATGTTGTGTTTTTGCACACATGCATTAAACCATAACTTTGAGATACTAACTGCCATAGCTAGTTTTATTATGCTCCTCGAAAAATTTCGGGGACGCATATAGTCGTCAGGTTGTCCGTCAGTCCGTACGTACGTCCAGAAATTCATGTCCGGCCCATAACTTTGTTATTTGAAGTTGAATTTTAAAATTATTTCACAGAAATGACCACCATATTGAGACGACGTGTTTGGCGCAACATTTGGGTCGCTACCTTGAAGGTCAAGGTCACAGCATGACCTTGCAGCAAAATCGTGTCCGGTCCATAACTTCATTATTTTAAGTCGGATTTTAAAAATATTTCACAGAAATGATCACCATATTGAGACGACATGTCACGCGCAACATTTGGGTCGCTACCTTGAAGGTCAAGGTCACAGCATGACCTTGCAGCAAAATCGTGTTCGGTCCAAAACTTTGTTATTTGAAGTTGGATTTTAAAAATATTTCACAGAAATGATCACCATATTGAGACGACCTGTCGTGCGCAACATTTGGGTCGCTACCTTGAACGTCAAGGTCACAGCATGACCTTGCAGCAAAATCGTGTCCGGTCCATAACTTTATTTGAAGTTGGATTTAAAAAATATTCCACAGAAATGATCACCATATTGAGACGATGTGTCGCGCGCAACATGTGGGTCGCTTCCTTGAAGGTTAAGGTCTAGACATAATTGTTTTACCCATATACCAGGGTCTATTCTAGGATTTGAAAAATAGTGGGGATTTTTATCGAAAAGTCAGAATTTATTATATTTGTTGATCTTTTGGCGCAATAGCTCAGTTGGTTAAACCACTGATTATCACTCCTGAGGTCCCGGGTTCGATCCTGGGTTACACCCTTGGGATTTTTCAGAGACACTTTCAGTGTTTCCCACCTACCTAGAGGTGTACTGGTAAGAAATCCAGGTAATCCTCGCATGTATCAGTGCTATACACTGGGCATGTAAAAGAACCAAGGGGTCTATTTAAATAAGAGCTAGGGACTGGTTCCCTGATTCCCTTGTATCTTAAAGCTGTTTCTTAAATGTATACAATGTATACCTGCTTAGAGTGATCGAAAACGATTTTAAAGCAGTATAATGTAGAAAAAAAAAATTTCCCTTCTTTCTCTACTGTATGTAAAATTTCCCCCCTGCCTCTGAAAAAATAGGAGTGATTTCTCAAAAATAGGGGTGAATCCCCCCTCCTAGAATAAACACTGATATACGCTCATTATACTATATATAGAGAATATTCTTTATATATAGTATTATGAGCGTATATGGGTAAAATAATTGTGTCTAGTGCCTGTGAGTGGGGAGGTCACGAGGGGTCCCTGTGTGTCCAGTAACACTTTCCGCGTATTTGTTCCGTTCGCTTTTCGGTATAATTTCTAACAAAATTGACAATAATAGAATTAAACATACAGGGTATCTTAAGCTTATTTACGGGTCTTTACTTACACGAAAAGAGAGTTGGTTTGTTTCTCGTGTTGAAAGATGATGTCTTCCAATTTTTGAAGGGAGTTTGAACCAGAAAAATGGTATTTTTTCTGGACTATTTCCCGCGCCTCTGTTTTGGAAGCCTCCATCTTGTTTTTCTGTGATGTCATAATCATGTGACTTCGAAACTCCGCCTCCTCCAGGAAAGGGATGTCAGAAAGTGATTAGATAATATACTGGTGCCTCATATTCCCGTGGTACTTAACTGTTTAACCCAGACAACAAAAGTTAAGAGGATAAAATTCTGAAAAACACAGTGAATATTGTAGGAGAGACATGTCAATTGCATCATAGTTTATTCCATTTAATGTTTGCATGTAAGCAATTATGTATACAACAATCCAATACACACCCATCTGCAGCTTTGTGAGTAAATTTGTGTTCTCATATTTCCAAGGCAATTACATTTTAACAGTTTCAAAAGCAAAACCAATATTAAACTTTATCTATAAGGACACCCATATCTAGGCTTATCTGAAAGGGGCGATTTTCTCTTTGGCATTTATCAAATACCTCAATGGTTGTTTAACAAAGAAGATTTTCTCAAAAGGTATGCAATCTAAAAGAAAAATGGTGAAATATTAAACAACCTTGCTCTAAATCTGAATAAAATATTTTTTTTAGTTCTATATGTAATATTTCGATAAAAATACAATAAAATAGTAAAAGTAAAACTACTGGCAGGTTCATTAAGTCTAGGAGGCACTTTAGACTGTTTAAGCCTGATACCTTGGAAATATGGGTACCACGGAAATACGAGAATCCAGTATACATGAGCCAAAATCAATTTGTCGGTGTTCTACGGTGTTTCGTGAGGACAATCGTGATATATTATTTCGTTTTTACCCGCGATGTACGGTGGAACGATGGTGAAAACGCGAAGGTACGATGACAAGATGATGAAAACACGATGGTACGATGATGAAAACATGATGGTACGATGGTGAAATTGCGATGTCGCGATGGTAAAAACGCGATTTGTATCGTGTTTTCATCATCGTATGATCGCGACTTTACCATCGTACATCGCGGGTAAGGACGAAATAAAAAAAAATACGATTGTCCAAACGGAACACTGTATACAAAAAGGTCTTATCCCAAAGAATTCTGTGTCTTAATACGAAGCCAATTCATGTTGCCAGTTACAGCAAAGAAATATGAAAATTACAATAATTTGACCTTTAGGGTCAAGGTCATTATGAGTGAAGGGCAAGGTCTGTCTGGTTTAATTGCTGTTGTGTTCAATGTTGAAGGTTGAAGACAATCCATTCAATACCTAACCAATAATGTGAACTAACGTCACTAATGGTTACCTAACTGTAACAATGTCTCTATTTTTTCTTTGAAAATAAAAGTCGAGATAAAAACTAATATCATTTGTCATATCATATTTTTAAAGAAGTTTATTTTACTTGTTTATTTTTCATATATATTTTTTTTATTTTTAATTGATTAATTAATTAATTTTATTTACATGTATTTCTTTCTTAATTTATTTATTTTGGTATTTTGAACATCGAATGACTGATGCTAAATGGGCTGCGAACTTTAAACCGGATTCGGAATATTTTTTGAATAGTAATAGTCATTAAAATTTCCCATGGTCACCGTTTACAGATAAAACATATTTTATTGCAGCACATAGATGTAAAATATTATACAAATGATTAGTATAAAACAAAACAATGGGTTGGGCAACAAATTTTATTAACACTAGATTAATCTTTTCCGTTTTTGAAGGAAATTCACAAAGTCACAAAGAGTATTTTGAAGACAATAATATGATTGCACGCCTTGCAAAATTGAGGCCACCTCAATGCGATATAATCAGATCCCATCAATCAAAGGGTAGTGGAGCGTCAGTTATGATATAATTGTATTGAGATCTAAATGCATTTAATTTGCACGAACAAAGATCGCAACGAAGATAACGAAAGAAAGAACAAAACAAGTCGCATAAAATTTGTCTTATATATTATAGATTTTATCTCTCTGTTTAAAAGAGTGTTTGGATTTAATATGAATAAAACATGAAATGCAATGTATATTTTAAAGGAACTGCTATGGTAAGGTAATATCTTTGTTTTTATAATAGTTTGAGGTTTCATCTAAATAAACAATTCATTTAAAACGTTATCTTTAATTATTTTTGTGAACCACATTATATACGAAATAGAGTTGTAAGTTATTTGTTTCTTTCATATAAATAGATGTTAACTTAAGCTATAGCATTATTTATCAACTGCCAAAATGTAAATACAATGACCACTTTCTACACTTGACTATCACAATGTTTTAAACACTCATGTCGTCATATCTGGATAACAAAATAATCGCACATTTTTCACACACCAAAATTACATTAGAAAATAGAATACAATGTTCCCTAACAAAATATGTACTACTATCTTAAGAACAAGTAAGGTAACGATTTCGCGAATGCCCCAGCTGTTCATCGGAAAATTTGAAAGCAATATACCTTAAATCTACAATAGATATTTCGGCATATTTTGTATCAAGAAACTAATGAATGTTCTACCTGTTATAGACAGTGAAGTATTATATAACAACTACCCCTTGATTTGTGATAAATTTTGCAGACATTGGTTGCCTGTTTGCTAGATCGATACATGTAAGACATATATATGTAAAATGGGAGACATCATAGAAGAGACGCCGATAGAACAATTTAAAGCGAGACCAGTAAGACAGAGAAGTGTTACGGAAGAAGTTATAGAAGATGCGCCGAGAGAAACATATAAATATGTGCCGGATAAACTGGATATATATGGCTGTATAGTAGACATGGCGGAAAATCCGGAGAGGGCAAAATCTACATTACGGACAATTGAAAACATCTTAAAGGCTCTAAAAGACCACAACAGATTACCTAGTCTTACTAAAGGTAAAAATAATTTAACTTCGCTTTAATCCATCTCGTAACTTATTAAACATGACATTTTATCAAATATCATTAGTTCTAGGACAATACCTAGTTTATACCAATTATGAGACGTTTCATTTACATTTCAATTTCTCCAGAGGCTGAGGAAAAAAGAAAGGGAGAGACTGTGCTACATACAGCTGTAAGGGTTTTCAAGCTTAAAAGTCAAGAAGAAAAAGAAGTAATCAAGTTACTTATTTCAGTATATCCAAAACTAATTAAGTTTGACCGGGAAAGTACGGAATATGCCGGCCAAACTCCATTACATATGGCTGTATGTAAAGGCAATATATGGCTTGTCACCACATTGTTAAAACAACTCAAAACAAGCGCAAAGCACTGGAAAACCACATTGCTGAAAAGAAAAGCAACAGGCAAAATCTTTACGAACACTGTGATGATGGGAGAAGTCCCCCTGAGTATAGCAGCTTTGACTTTCAATAGAGGTTTGTTCAAACATACATTATAACAATTTATTATAACAGAAAGGAATTAAAAGTATCTTGTACATACTATGACTTTAACTACATCTTTAAAGCAGCTATCTTCAGCTTTGTGGGGGTTGTTTGTTTAGTGTTTTTTTCTGTTCTTTTTCCATTACTTCTTACCTCGGGCATTACCTTTAGTCCTGTAAATATTAAGTACTAATTACATTACTCTGACCCTTTCTAGGAATATTCGACTTGTTACTGTACGAAGGGGCTGATCTCGACGGAACGAATTCCTTAGGTGACAACGTTTGCCATTCTCTGATAACGTAAGTCGTAATCAAATAGCCACTAAATAGTGCTTAGATATTTTAGTTGCTTGTACATTTGATCACGATCGATGCCTATCAAATATGTTCAAAAGAAGCTCTGATCTTGCATTTTGAAGAGATATTTAATATCTGAAATTCAAATAGGGTTAAAGTAAGTTTTGATAAGTTTGTAACATGCTAATAAGCACCCCCGCTAATTGGTGTGTTTTTGCTCCGCGCTGCCGCCAATTTAATTTGTTTCTTATCTACTTTTCGCTTGGCGGGGTCGCAGGACGAAAACACGCTAATAAGCGTGGGTGCTCGGCGAAGTTATATTTTTATTTAACTTCCCCCTGCCCCCACCCCCCTTCCGCGAATAATCGTGTTTTCGTGCCGCGACCCCGCCGTTTAATTTCTTAAATCTCGCACCGCGCTCCCGCGGGGCTAAGTTTTTTTTATTAAACATCGCCCGCGCCTTTGCTAATTAATTAGCGTGTTTTCGCTGCGCCCCTCCACCACCCCCACTCCCCATTTTAACATGTTAATTATCGACTTTTTGCTTGGCGGCGTCTTGGGACGAAAAGACGCTATTTATCGGGGCACGTTACGGACTTTTATTTATTAAACTTCGCCCCACGACCCCGCTAATAAGCGTGTTTTCGTCCCGTTTTATTTCTTAAATCTCGCTCCGCGACCGCGCGGGGCGAAAGTTTTATTTCTCAAACTTCACCCCGCGCTCTCGCTCATTAGCGTGTTTTCACTGCGCGCCCCAGCCATTTTAACTTGTTATTTTTCGACTTTTCACTTGGCGAGGTCGCGGGGCGAAAACACGAATGGCACAAATCAGCCACCCTACTTTTGTGATACTTCGCTAATTTTATAACATGGCGTATATTTTTCAAAATATTTTCTGTGAGGGTATAGTAATTTAATTTTCATCTACATTCAAGCATAATATGTACATATATGTCGTTTATAATTTAGTTTCTGTTCACAGATATGGTTATTTATACCCAGAAAAACTAAATGACGTATTAGAAATGTGCCGAAAGATAAATGAGGACCCTGCGCCGTATGATACTAGTGCACGAGCGATACAAAACAGAAAACTCCAAAAGAAGATTTGGTTAATGGAGAATCTACAAGGTTTGAACCCGTTACAACTAGCAGTGACACTTGGTCAACATCAGGTGTTTTCTTTTATTATGGACCAAGAGGTAATAAATGCTTTGTAACCACAGAAATGTCAATGTTATATCAAATCCAGAAAAAAATATCATAAAGAATATTTTGATTTGTATCTTTTAAATGCTAAGGCTTTTAAAGTGACTTGGTTTTTAATAATTAAGTCGGTATTTTCCACATTACATATATCTAGTTTCTATAGTAATGAATAATTATAGTAGATCTAGATGGAATTATATAAAATATCATAATTATTACCATGGGATGTAAAACTTATCAATATTGCAGGCCTACTGTTTCGAAAACTCGAAAGATGGACTTTTTGACATCAAAATATATGATATTACGGAAATTGACGCTATCTCTTCAATGAAATCTGGAGACATAGGAGGGGAAAACGAGAGAATGCAAAACGGATGTCAACCGGAGAACATTTCCCGAAGACAGACTACTTATCAAAATGAACCATTTCGAAAGTCTGTCCTTATGATGCTTTTCGATCTGGAGCCATCTGTCGCTTTTCAGTTCATTTTGTTTCCTCCATTAATGAGGGTCGTCAACCAGAAGTGGAATGCATACAGAAAATATTTCTACCCTTGGTGGATATTTCATACGATATTTATGTTTTTTCATACATGGTATTGTATTGAGAGATCGAGACAAAACCATAATTCCCAAGGGCTTTTCAGTGTCAACAGTCCCCCCGTCTTTACAAAGAAAATACCATATGATCCATTTGTTACTACATATGGCTCAATATGCATAATAGTTTCAGTTGTATACCTTGCTCAGGAGGTGTTGCGTATGACCAAAAAAAGAATGCCGTGGACTCTGAACTCATTCTTGAATCCCTACAGCAGTGGCTGGTTTCGTGTTATGTTTGTTTTATTTGGACTTTGCCTCATTATCGACTTTATCCTTGCCATTGTCCTTGTTTACTACGAGAACTATCTACTTATAGTAGCTATGGTACTCGGGTGGTTTTTGGAGATATTTTTCATAAGAGCCATCAAACCGTTCAGTTTCTTCACGGTTATGATACAAAAAGTCCTCATTATAGACATGTCACGTTTCTTTGTCATAATCGGTATCGAAACACTTGCTTTCGCTACCGCTATGTATATGGCGATTCAAGGGTCGAGTGTTGCGGAATCCACGGATTATCGGGACATTTGGCGGACAATATTCTCTATGTTTAGCTTAATGGTAGGTGTCGGAGACTTAGTCGCAATCTATGATACTCGTCATCCCACATTGTGTATCATCATACTGGTAGGCTTTATCGTTATGACCACTTTGCTCATGCTGAATGCACTTATAGCAATGATGTCTCGCACGTGTATGGAATTGGTAGAAAATGTTGGAAATGTAAGGACAAGAGAGCGACATTGGAAGCTTCAAAAATTATCCGTGATTCTCTTCTTTGAAAGTATCCTTCCAAATACATTTATATTCAAAGCGGGTGAATGTCAGGAAGTTAGGCGATATAATAACACTATGCACCGAAGAAAAAAAATGAAAAGATACATGCTTGAAGTGCGATCCTTACAGGATGAAGACGGGGATGGATGTGAAGAAGGAACGATTTCTACAAGCTGGGGATTCAGGACTGCTGTATTTAATGCTCTCAAAAACAACAAGCGAGGCTCAACAGACAGGCCTCTTTCTGGTATCAGTGATAAAATTCGACACACATTAAAGAAAATGAGCAAAAAGAAAGCAAAGAAAAAAGATGCCGATGATGACAAGCAAGATTGTATTTTAGAACCCTCTGAGCAAAGACCAGTACAAATTCAGCCGCATGTATCACATGATTTTGGCTTGAATCCAATGGCTGCGGATAACGAATTTCCAAATGGTGGCTTTTCTGCGAGAACTCCAAGACAAGCTGAGATTGACATATACCATGTTAATCTTTGTAGACAATGCTCTGTCAGCGATGTCACTCGTGACTGTGATCATCAGATCCGTTAGTGCGATTTTTCATTATCATGTATAATACTGGCCACTTATCTGTAATAAATATGTATGTTTCCATTATAATATGCAAATACTACATTTTCAAGAAGCTTTACACCTTATCTTTCATGTGTAGTCTCCTACCCAAGCGGCACACATTTCATATGCTTGACATATTTTTTGCCAATTTGAACCTTTTTCATTTCTCTACATAGAAGTAGGATACTCGAATATTGTAACACCGAATTTTGTTCCCAAAGTTAAAAAAAAATTCACTATGTCAAAATAAGAATTGTTGAAACATTGTCTTATTAGGGAACACTGATATTTCCAATAGTATTCCTATGTTATACCTATGTTTATCTTACTTTTACATATAAATACAGCCTACATGCATGCTGAAACATTGCGATAAATGGATCAGTTATTATCATTAATAACATTTTAATTATAATGCACATAATATGTTGATTGGCTTATGGTTGTGGTTTCTTGCTTGCTTAATTTCTTGCTTGCTTAATTGATTGATTGATTGATTGATTGTTTGTGTGACTGATGCATTGATTGATAATTGAATGGTTGATTGAAAGAGATTGATAGATCGATTGATTTTTTAAGATAGATGGATGGATGGATGGATGGATGGATGGAACTATAGATCACTTCATTTAGATAGAAACTTCTTAAAAGTTTTGCTTTTTGTACCTGTTTGTGTCTATTGTTGCAAGTTATGTTTTTTTATTTCCATGATGTCTGTTTCAAGTGTTGAAATATGAATGCATTAAATTGTAAATAGTATGTAAGACTTTTTGAAATAAAGTGTCTTTGTATTGGCATACTCAAGTCTTATCTTACTTAGTTTCGTGTAATAATTATCGAGTACAATTTCTGACCGTATTCGATATATACATTTACTTCGCAGTGTCATATATTCAACATGCCTATGGCTATCTACTTTATGTTGCGTCGTATAAGTTTTATCGACCTCTTTCTTTGGCTTGGTCTGAATTAAAATCAGAATAATTATTCAACTATTCAATTATCGCAAAGTTAAGATGACCTACTGGAGAAAACTTTGTAAGCGATAGTTTAATATGCTTCTGTTTATTTGCAAATATTTTTCGCTGACATTCTAATTCAAAAATTGATGTTTTTATTTTTTTTTCAAATTTTTTAAATATTGCAAAATACTACATAATATAAACAATGTCAATGTAATCAAATCAAATATAATACAGTACAAGCGATGCAATGCAATATCAATACCAATACAGAGCAATACATTATATTACAAATACAATACCAATTTGTTGTACACTTCAATACAAAGCAATGCAAAGCAATGCCATGGATGCAATTTTATGCGGTATGATACGATACGAAACAATACAAAACAATACAATGAAAGCAACACAGTATAAACACAATACCAAGACAATGTAATACTAATGTAATTCACTTCAATACAATAGCATTGCAATGCATTACAATGCGATGCGATGGGTTTCGAATCAATATGATACGAAACAAAACGACGATACAATACAATAAAATACAATACAATACAGCACAGTATAAATGCGATACCAATACATGGTAATACCAATACCAATGAAATGCACTTTCGATACAATAGTAATGCGATACAATACGCTATGATACGAATCGATACGACATAACATGATACAATTAATACAGTACTATACGACGCAATACAGGGAAAAACACAACCAAAAAGTGTCATAGACAACAGTCTGTTTTAAATTTTTTAGACCACAAAGAAAAAAGTAGTGCCCAACAAACAATTTTAAAACCCCTAAAAAGGGGGAAAAAAAAACAAAAATCATTATAAACCCTATTGCTTTTAACACCACATGGGGCATATCCCTAACAATTTTCAAAATTAATCCCTTTGGGTTTTAAAACTGTGTTTTTCCCTTTTTGCTCTTCCTTTTTGCCAAATTTTACAGTCGTATTCACTTTAATGATAAAAATCAAAAAGCCCTTTAAAAGACGGAAAGGGTTTTTAATACAACAAACAATTAAAACTTAAAAAGATCAAAACAAATCTTAAAGGGCTGAAAGCTACTATTTTTTTGAATTTGGGATTTAAATTTATTTCTAAATTTAAAGGATAGGAATGGTCATATCTCCTAATTCTTGTTGTATAGACCTCTCACGATGATAGGTGACAGATTTCAAAATGATCCCCTGATAATTTGTTTATTGGATTAAATTCCAGATACAATTAGGCTAAAATGTAAACATAGTAGTAAGTTGAAGTAAAACTGATGTTGACAAAAACTCTTTGATGCTCCAAAGTTGTGACATGTTCGAATCCCAAATTACTCAGAAAATGATTATAGACTTAATTTTGTTTAAAAATGGAGGGGTTGCTAAAGCATCAAGTCGCCGGATAGAAAAATGATTGTATTATCATAAATACAAGAAGATATCAGTTAAATGGGTCAAGTATAAAGAAAAGAGGAACAATATGTTGAGTAATGTTTGCCACCGAGGCTTGTAAGGCAAGTGATATGCCGAAATTCTACTTGTAATTCTACTTTATACATATACTGTTGTACGTTACATTGAGATCCGTATGAGTTACTAGTCAGGAATTACCGATCATCGAATAATTGCAAAGTGACTATGAAAATATATATGTTTAATTATTGCATGAAACAATGCAATTCTACTGTTTAATGTGTTGTCTATCATCATGATCATTATTATGCGCTATCGAAAAAAATATAATTAGTTGTAATCAATACATGTATTCCCATCGTTACATACGATATAATAAACGTTTAATTGCCTTTCAGTACGATAAACTATCAACACAAAGATAGTTTATTTATTATTTTATTTTATGTATCTTATACGATTCCAGACCCCTACCGTCATACAGTTTTGGAAACCTGCGCGACGGAAACTGAATGAATAAAACGAAATCAACGATTACCATTATATATTTCAATAATGTGCCTCTTAAGCATAAAATTATTTTGTGATGTTCAACCTAAACTAAACTATTGAAAGATTTTGTCAAAAGTTTGACAGAAAGGGCCAAGTTTAACCCTTTACCAAGAAAAAAGGAAAAGGTTTTGAAAATAAAGTTTTAATGTGTAAAATATGGGTATACAGGTTTTTATAATGATACAAAATTTGAAACTGATTAATGAAAAATAACTTTTTAATTATTTATACAAAATTACAATAAGTTGCATCTTATCAGCCGCCATATCTTTGCCAACCATTACCAAGTTACCTGTATGTCTTGTCAGCAATCTGTTACTATTAATAGATTTTATAAAGATAACATACAACGTGTAGTCACGTGATTCTTACAAAAGAACAGGGAGAATTTGGTTATAATGAGATAAAATAATGAAATATAATAGGTCTCTTAAAATATAAACAACCAAATAATTCAAGTGTCATTTCAAATATCATTCATAATTTAGATATCATAAATAGCAAGGCTTGACACATAGAAAAAGTAAAAGTTACCCTAAATTCAATGACTGATCCTTAGGGATACATTATTGATTTATTTTATGAAAATTGTAATGTTGCTTTTTAAGATGTCAATATTTCATATCTCATTTCATTGAGTTATCATACGTTTGAATGTTTGAGGTTACTGAAAAATAATTGTGGTCTTTAATTGTTCAATAATTGATATGATTTTATTTTCAGATTTTAAGGGCTTCTCCTACCATAGGTATAATATTAAACTGTTACAAATATAGTCGCCGGTTTCTACCGGCGACTAATAAATTCTGTAAGAGGTCCATTTGGAGGAAATTGTTTTGGAGGGAAACCTGGTGATTCATACAGTCTGCTGAAGCCTTTGCATGCTCTTAATCTATAATTTCAACATTATAAAGCACACATTGGTCTTTCGAAGGAAAAATATATTTCTGAGAGTTAATGTGCATGTAGCGATTATACTAAAAACGTAGGACATTTTCTTGCTGAACATCTCTCTGTAAAGTTAACAATTCGGAAAGGAAAGAATGATCGAAACCAGACCTAGTTCTAATACAGGGTCGTGTATGTGTACATATACATAAAATCATGAAACTTTCATTATTTGTCAAAATCCAGCTAGCTAGCCACCTTAAACGAATAATATGCTTACGATTATAAAATTGTATATACATGTATATAAGTCTCAGTGTAGTAAATTTTTGTATGATATTCGTAAGAACTGGTGCACTCGTGTACGTAATTAATGGTTTGCTCCTGTCAAATATTCAAGTTTATGATATTCATTTATAATAAATGAATTCAGTTATTCATTCATTTATTTATTTATTTATTTATTCATTCATACCCACAAATAAACGCGTTGAGCCTTGCAGAAATCATAATTATAATGAAATTGGGTGCGTTTAGGCTAGTACTTACTTAACACTCTTCAAATGAATAGGAACTTGAGTAAATGATTGGTTATAACATAATTTATGGCATTCACGTTTATATATAGGGCATTTATTAAATGCCATAAATGACAAATGTTACATAATAACAAAACATGACAAATGTTACATAATAACAAACATGGCATGTACATATTTGTATCGAAATAACCAAACTGGGAGGTAAAAACCGCCAGATTATGATAACATTGTAATGTAATTCAAATAGATTACAATCTTAACAAAAGTTATGTAAGATGACAAAGTTGAACTAAAAACCATCTACATAAATATAATAAAATGGATTGCTGATCAAAAACAATTGACCAGAAAAATTAAATATTTTCCAAATCGTGGTCGACTCGCCCAGGAAAAACCATAGTTTGGAAACCTGTGCCCTTTTATCTTGTGTCTAGTACCACTTGATGTAGGGCTCCATCCTTGGAAAATAGTTTATACATTCTATACATTAAAAAGTGTATAACATATGACTAGATCATAAGTATTTATGACAACAAATAGAAAAATATTTGAAAGAGATAATATAACATCGACTAGTTTTATAAATCTTTGCATGAACAATATACATAATATTATATATATATATAGTGTATCTCATGAATAGTTGCACAAATAATTGAGATAAACAATAAGTGGAACAACTGATTCATTAAGAATAAATGAAATGGTATTTATATCAACATCAAAAATTGAAAGAGGAGGATGGAGTTGGAGGAGGTGGATTTTAGTAAACAGAAAGGCGAGAATCATTCCTCGCCAAAATTATTTCTTTGTGATAGATCTAATGTAATCATTGGTTAATTAACATCACATGATTTAAGTCTTGATATCGATTGGCTAAGACGTACTTGGCTAAAACCTGACCCGTAACGGCTAAAAACCTGACCCGTAATATTCTGTACAGTAATGAGTATAGGGACAGAACAATGACATAAATTATTTTATGTGGGCATAAAATCTATTTTATGTATTGTCCAGGTCAAGCAAATATAACTGGCAAGACGAACTTGTTTGGTATGAGATAAAACACAACACTTAGGTTGAATGAAATAGGGCATTTATTTAATGCCATAAATGACAAATGTTACATAATAACAAAACATGACAAATGTTACATAATAACAAACATGGCATGTACATATTTGTATCGAAATAACCAAACTGGGAGGTAAAAACCGCCACAAAGGGAACCTTCCGCCACCCAGGGAGACTTGACTAGGGATGAGCTTGACCTGTAATAAGGATTGAAACAGAGGGGCTAAATTTGCCGAAGTTACCATTAATTTAATCAAGTCATGTTAGGACAAAAATGTTACGACAAATCATATATCTAATGACAATATTATAATATGTGTAGAATTAATGTCTAACATTT